TGTCACTGAAATTAATCCCTTTCTATCAGCATTGTAATCTGTTCTCTTACTTATCCCTGATCTGCCCTCTGATACTCCAGTAATTTGCGTACCCAACAGCTTTAAGCATCATCTTTGTCAACCATCTGGCCTAGTTGCATCAACATACAAATACAGTCACTATACTTGTCTAATTACCTATTAAACACTTTTAAGACACTGATTTCATAAGGCACTGTAAAAAAAACCTTCTCTGCATTTAAACTGTATTAGCAGCTTAATTACAAAGTAAAAGCACAGAGGCTATACTTCAATCTCAAGTTAGGCATCACCTAACCACTACTTAGCTTTTCTATTCTCGTCCACTCCATTTAACCTTGTTGACATCCTGCACTGTGGGCTTCAGTGTTTAAATGAAAAGCTAATTGAAGAAAATGATTTATCTTGAAAGTTTCTTCCACCCTACACAGTTACTGCCAACAAACAACCTCTTACAACTAGTGACTTTATAATAAACGGGTGGTCCTGGCATTAATGACAGGGAGTGGATTGACTCATGAGATTGTTTGACAAAACTGATGCCCTCTTTCAATTATTAAGAATTCCACATAGTCAGTCGGGAACATACATTGACTGAATCAAAGTTTTTTAAAAAAGAGTTTTTTGATGTTTTCTTTGGTTTTTAGCCAGTCACCTAAGCAAATCTACAGATTCAAGTTTTTTGTAATCTAAATTTTGCATTGCGGAGTTTGTGTTCTCGGTGATGATTCTGAGTCGATTCTGTCTATCCAACAGCAGCTACTGTTGTATCAAAGTGGAAGGAAGCAATCAGTTCCCGTTGCAGTAATTACTCATCTATTAACCAGGCGTACGCTGCAATGCAAAATCTCTATAGGTAGTAAATGGGGACAAACCTCCGTTTGGAAGCAAACCCTTGTTTAGCTCTGATTACATTGTGCGAGGAAAGCACGCATTTTGTATTCACATTGCTCTCTCCACTGATCCAGCAACGTTTGTTGCCATAGGGATGCCAGCTGTGGTGGCAAATAAGCCTTGCTACGATTTAAAATATCTGGTTATCGGATGAGTTGAATTTACCATCTAATGCACAGGACTTGGGACTGTTTAATTTTAGCAAATAATTGCTAGGAATGAATGTTGCAGACGGCAACTTCAGCGCCATTTAGTATTTTTAGTTTAAAGTGCTTTTTGTTTAATCACTTAACTTTAATTTTAGTTTGATTTTTCTGTTCCTTTGCATTCGTCGTCTTCTGCACGTTTATAAAAATCTGTTTGTGGAACACTGCTGTGCGCAATTGGCTGCTGCATTTCGCCCACAAAATATACAGTCAATTCACTTTACAATATATTCTGTGAAGTGCTTTGAGACAGCTCAATGACATGATGAGGCACTATATCAAATACCATTATTTTTTAACTGGACACACACTTAAAGTATTTCCCAAGAGCATACTGTGTGAGGAGGCTCACAGAAGGTTGCAAGCTGTGAAGTTTTACTTGATGCAGGGGCAAGGTTCATAATGTAGGTTGAAGACAAGTAGCTGAAATTCCTTAAACACACAGAACTCCTGACTGAGTGAAACAACCCCATACAGATCTGGTCCTTGTTTGATCCATGTCTGCATTGTCAGCTGATCTCAGCCAGGACAGCGGAAACTGGTCTTAGTGTGCCTGGGGAGGGGAAGATCCTGGTTACTGTTCCAGATGGTGACAGTGATCCCTCGTGAGTGAGGGATCACTGTCAAATATTTTGCTGGCCTCATTGGACTTGCAAAGATCAACGGCCTATGAGACCCCTGTAGAATTGGTACCTTAAAAAAGAATGGAGAAGGTGGGGAAGACCAAAGAGGAGGTTGATATGCTCCTTGGGAACTAGCTCCTCCGATTTCAGGCTGCTCTGATCAGTTCTTAGCCTCAACATTCCCATTACAAAGGTGAACTAGCATCCACATATAGCGTGTGACGTCATGGCATGTACTCTTGTCATCACATATGGAAATGCAATGTCATCCTTCGGGGATTATTGGTGGCAAAACATTGCTATCCAGGAGTGACCTCCTTACGGCAGACCGCCTCCACGAAAATTACCACCCAATATGCTGATGCCACCAAGACTGCCTCAATTTGCAGTTACCGACATGCAGGCTTGATCCCGGAACCAGTTTCCCTGATGTCAGCATCAAAACACTAAGAATCTGCAGATAATTAGGCTCCTTTTTATTCTTGTTTGTTTGCTTTTAAGCGCTCCGAGACACCATCAAGCGTGAAAGGCGTTATATAAATGCAAGTTGTTGTTGCTTTAATCGATAACACTCAATCCTCTAGATCAAAAGATTGGTTTCAAGTCCCAAATTGCAGCAACTCAAGCTTGAATTCCAGGTTGACGCTACAATCGAGGGAGGACTGCATTGTTGGAAACACCATGGTAAAATTTGAAGAGATACAGGAATTCCTCTTTCCTTGTCAAAGCTCCAGGTTAATTGGCCGTTTATCTCCAGGCTGTTGCTGAGATATTCCTGCACGTTGCTGCCGACAAAAATTTCATCCCCTACACTTAACAGTAATTATTATGAATTGCTTTGAGATGTTTCAATGTGATGCTATATGGTATAAGTTAGAGATTTAAATTTAAGAGAGAATTTTGATCCTGAAACCCCTTGAAAGGAGGTGGTATGAAATACTGTTCTGCACTGCACACAGTTATCTCGTGTTGATCTGATACTGATGTGACCTTTTTTTGTGTGTGTGTGGAGCGAAGTGTTTAACCTCAAGCATGTGGTAGGAAGGAACAACAGCAACAACAAAATTACATTTGTATAGCGCCTTTCACGTCAGAAGCTAGTTCAGTTGGTGGCACCTTAGCAAAGGGTAGAGCTTCCTGCCCATGGTGCTGCATTATTTGCCTTTAATATTTTGTGGATGGTGATTTACTCTCTTGAATTTGTTCTTTTTGCAGTGTTTTTACTATTAAAACAGTCCTGTAGCTCAGTGGAGTCCTGTAGCTCAGTGGTTAGAGCACTCGCCTCACAAATGAGAGACCTGGGTTTGATTCCCGGCAGGGCGAAATGTTGGACAAGTTTCCTTACTTCACACGCCTCTGTTTGCCTAGCAGTAAGTAGGAACCTGGTTGTTAGTTGATTGGCGCATTGCTTTTCCTGGAGTAGTAATTCCTGTAAACAATAATAATAAATTGGTCACTTCAATCCACGACTGTTTGTGGGACAATGCTGTGTGCAATTGGCTGCCACCTTTCGCCCACAAAATATACAGTCAATTCACTTTACGGTATGTTCTGTGAAGCGCTTTGAGACATCTTGAAGACGTGATAAGGTGCTATATCAAATGCAAACATTATTATTATTACAAATCTAAATCTGTTGACCTTGCCTCTTAACATCCCCTGCCCCCCACCACACACACACACACACACACACTTGCCCAAATTTGTACATATGGTGGAAAGTGGCTGGTTTTGCCTGCAGTACTTTGTAAACTATCTACTCAGTTAAGTTGAGCAATCAATAAGGAGCAGCTGTATGCATTGACCTGATAAGATGCACTTTTCAAGATGTATTGAATAAGAAATTGATTGAGTAATACATCTCTCCAAATTAGCCAAAGTACAACAACAGCAACTTGCATTTATATAACACCGGACAGCGTCTCGAAACGCTTAATGGGTGTTAATTACTTGGAGAGTAATGGGTGTTGTGGAACCAGAACAGTATCAGCTGCAGGTAGAGTCTCCTCCGGCTACTCCCTGTTTAATGACAGCCCTGGCAGAGCAGAAGAACAAGCACTTTGTGCTTTTATTGCTTGCTTTCATTTGCAGGTTAATGAACCATTATAGAGATTGCCAGAAAAATATCCACAGCAGGAAGTGAATATTAGGGTTGCTGAGATGGGTTCTGTTGACCCGCTCACAGAACCTGTTTTTCATTGCTCTCATCAAACCATGTCAAAAGCTCAATTTGCAGTTGAGATTTGGCTGTTGCTCAGAACTAAGCAGGAACTACAGAGAGAAATTTTCCAAAGTCAAAAGGCTCCCTTATTCAAAGACGCACATTTGTGGGCGATGGGGGATGTTGATTTCATCTGAAGAGCTGTTATCTAATTCTTATTTTGTTCACTCTCAGTGAACACTTATTAAAATCTGCTTTACCGTTCGTGGAAATTGTTCCCGTATTTATGCAAATAAACTCTGGAGATGCTAATATACTCAGTTGTATGAAAATGATTGCCATAGATATTGTCAGCAACGAAACCCAAGGAACGTACGTATAAGTGAAGCAGCACTGAGAACACCCAACAGGACCGATTTCATCTGAGGCCTTTTGTCTGTATTTTAGAACATGCCCCTGGCAGTGTTCAGCCTCTAAATTTGTATCCTCTCTGCTTTGGTGCCTGTGCAGCTACGTGCTCTGGAGTTTGCTGCTAAAATTCATTCTGGATTTGTCTATTTCTACTCAGAATCTCACTATGCTCGCAAGTTGTAACTCCTTAATCATGGGGGGTAGTGGTGTGGGAGGGGTGAGAAGGATCAAAGGGAGAAATTATGGAGATGTTCTGTTTCAGAGAGGGTCTTTGGTATTGATACATTGGTTAGATTCTTGATAGTTTAGGTTAAGGTTTTGCACTTGTAAATGCTGGATTTTTTTTCTGGCTTTGCCTCAACTATATTTTTAAAATTGGAGAAGATTTCATAAAGTTCTGAGTTGTCAGCAAAGTTGCTTTCAACAGGGCCATGTCCTGATATGTAGCAATTGTATGCACATTAATTGGCGTAAATGTCTACAGGAAAGGAGCAACTCGTAATTTGAGTTGCCTGGTTCAGACCTTACAAAATACGTTTAAGAGGCAACTAGATTTGCTGCTGGAGAGAAACTTGCTAGGTCTAAGCCTTTTTTTTTGTCTTCCCGGCATGTGGTCCTTGAACTCTGATTGTTGCCCCCAACCTGTTTTGTCTTGGTTTTTAATTTTCCGATCTTGTGTTTTTACAGAAATATCGCTACCAAGATGAAGACACACCTCCACAAGAGCCTGGGTCTCCACAACTCAGTGATGAGGTGACGGCTCCAGAGCTGGTCCACGTGTCTGAGAAGAACCTCTCCCAGATTGAGAATGTCCATGGTTTTGTGTCTCAGGCACATATATCTCCAATGAAGGTAGGAGTCCGAATTCCGACAGTAGTTTGCTTGTCATTTAACACTCAACTAACTGGTCTCTAACATAGTATTAACTTGTGTTGCATGTGTGATGTATATTTTATGTAATTTGAAATTCCTTTACAATACAGTGAAATTACCACCTTTATAGAATCATAGAATCCTACCAATCGAGTCGCAGGCGGCTGCAGGCTGTCAATCACCTGAGGTTCCCTTCCCGTCCAATGCAAACGGCAATGTAAAGGAGGAAACGCCATCACTCCTCTGCTGGGCGGGAAATTACTAATAGCACCACACTTTAGGAGCCAAACAAAGGTTAAATATATTTTACTAAATTTAGAGAGAGTATTTTAACTTTAACTGGTTAGTTAACATTGCTTCAGGTGCAACAACATTATTGCATATTTTTATATGGCGACATGGGGATTCTCTGCCGGACAGGAATGGTATTTTGACTAACCTCAGACACCTCTCAAGCCGGACAAAACAGCCGTCCCTGACGTGTCCTGCTTAACCGGCTTCCACTCTATTTGAAATCTGTCCTCTGGTTACCGACCAATCCGCCATCGGAAACCGTTTCTCCTTATTTACTCATAATTTTGAACACCACTTTTAAATCTCCCCTTAATCTTCTCTGCTCTAAGGAGAACAACCCCAACATCGCTAGTTTCTCCACATCACTGAAGTCCCTCATCCCTTTTATCATTCTGGTAAATCTCCTTTGCACCCTCTCCAAGGCCTTGGCATCCTTCCTAAAGTCTGGTGCTTCTGCAAAACCTTGACATTGCTGCCTTGCTGATTTTCTCCAGTACTACAAGCTACTATTAGGTTTTATTAAAACTGATGACTGGGAAAAAGTAAATGGTGCTGCAGGCTTTGCACCTACACAAATTTGCAGAGGTCAAGAATAGTTTTTAGAATAGACTGATTTAAAGCTCATAAGGGAGCATAACAATATCAAGTAAGAACGTTATTAACATGGTTCAAGACATCAAGAAGCCACAAACAACACAGGCATTGTCCTGGAATCTGGAGCTAAGATTGCACATGAATTAATCATAGTAATTGTGAACAAGGGCAGAAGCGATTCTTTGTTGCTTGAGTAGTAGAGATCATATTATCTGCGTATTGAAGGTTTGACAAATTTTCTGCCAGCACGTTTGTGTTGAATCACTAAGCATATTTTTCCATGGTCAAAGTGTTGGTTTTGCTACGTGTAGGCTTATGGTAAAAATGTCAGCATCCTATGCTGTTGTTTTCTCAGACAATATGGCAAAATTACTAATCCACTGGTTAATGCAGCATCTGATGAGAATGGTGTGGTGAAGGAAGCTGCAAATTTGAGAGCAGTGGAATTATATTTATCAGGGTTCATCTTAAGGTTTGAGCTGCTTTGGCCAACAAACTTTTGAGATGAGCACTAGAGCACAAATTGCTCCCAGCGCTTCAATTGAATTTTTCAATTTTGTTTGTTTGGACTCATTCTAGCTAATGTGGCGATACTTCTGAGGTTTGGGAGAGAATTTTGAGAATCATGGTTAGCATTTAAGGTTTTTGTTTCCTGCCAGGGATTGGAGACTCCCATTGCTCCCGGCATATGGAGCCTGGCTTAATATCTACACAACTGCACTAAAAATTAGATCCCTGAAATATACTTAGATACTTATAATTAGATACTGCATTCAAAAGGAAAAGAGTTCAGTGGGGGCAGGAGAGGAGAGAGAAAATGATGTTATTATTATGTTGCATTGTCCGAGGGACATTTCAAACCTGATGGGGCAGGAACACAATACTAATACAGTATTTTTATTGTGTACCTCCCTATGCAAACAAATCACTGAATATTGAGCAAACCTTGCCCACACTTTCCACCTGGTTATATTTTAAAGTATAACAAAGCAGGAACGTATTTTATGGCTAATGACTAACGACCACTTTGTGCTTCAATCTGACATCTCAAATGTTTACTGTGTTACTAGTCTGTCATCTACCCCAGCCTGTGTGTTAAGAATACTCAGACAACATTTCCAGAAATGTTGAAACCAAGTAGTGTAAACTGCAGATCTAGGCATATGTGAAACCCGGAATGTTGCTTCTGATCTTGTGGTTAGCGTAACAATCTGAAACTTTATTTTTAGGTTAAGTTATTCTCTTGTTTCCCCTCAGTCTCTCAGCAGCAGTCCTGCTAATTTTGGGAGCTTGCTGCTACATGCTAGTTTGGTTGAATTGGTAAAAAATATTAATTCCTTTGTCTTTACAAAGATGGGCAGATGGTTCCCAAGCCCATGATGATGTTATTGTGCAAAAGGCTCCTTGCCTGTGGGGAAGGAATTCTCTGAGCTACCCCCATGAATGGGGGAAGTAACCATCCTCTGACTCACAAAGAAGCATAGTATTAGCGGGGAGAGTGTAGGCTTCACTAGGATCTTATTGATTGTCAGCACCTTAAATGAGTTGGACCTCAAATGTGTTACACAATCAGATCACCAGCATTTTTGTGGTTCAAATAACTTAAATCATTGCTTCGTTCAAAAATGAAGGAAGTTTACTTGAGGTGATACAGAGCACATAGAGAAGGTTACTCTTACTGTATTCAGCTCCATTTCCTTGCGTTATTCTGTCCACTAGTTATAATAATATAATAATAATCCTTGCATTTGATATAATGCTTTTCACATCTTCTAGACTTCTCAAAGCACTTCACAGAATATACAGTAAAGTGAATTGACTGCATATTTGTGGGCGAAATGTTGTTGTTCAAAAACCTCCTTTACATTCACCACATTAATTTCCAAGGACCTGGGGCAGCAATGAGGAAAAAAGCCATCCAACTATCCGCTTGCTTCCAGATGATCTGGTTAAAGCAGATAATTAACCATTGTAGAATCATTGATTCACGAAATGTTTCCTGATTTTTAAATCAATAAAACTGATCTCTATCTCTTGTTTGTTTACATGGTGGCTCACATCTGTGATTCATAAATATTGGCTGAAGCAATGAATATGATATCAATTGGCTTTTGATTTGTAAGTGAAAGTGTTTCTAAGAGATTGTTTTGAATTTTAATACTTCTCTTTTTCCCATCCCGAGTCCAGCCATTTTGTTATAATTTTGGGAGCTTGCTGCTGCATGCTAGTTTGGGAAAATATATTAAAAGAAAACCTTTGTCTTTGCACCAAAATTGATTGACTTGCTCCCTTCCCTATTGTTAAAAAATAACTTCTGTACCATATAGGAAATGTACAATAAATCATAATGCTCATTTTAAATCATTTAATGGGGGAAAGAGCTTAGAGCAGTTACCAAATTGAACGGCACAATGAAAGTATTTTGGGCAAACGTTCACCTTTTCAGGTTCATCTTGTTTTTTATTGCTTGTGTTAGCTCAGGTGTAACTCGCTTGTCCTGTTAAGTCACGTGCTCCACATAAGTGCAGGATACTAGGCAGAGGTGTAGAAGCTTGTCCATCACGTGGTCCTACCATCTGTGCTACATAAGATGAGGGAGTACAGGAAGCTGACAGTGCACAGTAATTCCCATATTCATTAATGCACATTACATGCAGATTGTAGACACTTAAGGCAAGCAGGGGAATTTTAAGCAAGTGACTCAATGGATTCTGGCATAGTTGGCAATTAACTTTGGCTGCCTGCCAATCCAATGGTCGTGTCACAAATACACATGTAAGAATCGAATAGTTGTAATTATGCTAAATTATAGATTACATTATATCCTATGGTAATAACCTTTCAGCGTTAGTAATTGATCTGTTTGGGTTTGATGAGAAATATTGTGAATTGTGCTGAGTAACAGATCACAGAGAATATATTTCATCCTGAAATCCATTCCCCGGTATGTTTTTACAATGTTCCATTTTTATTCTGTGTTGGTAAATTTTTTGTTTCCACTAATTTTCTTCCCTCCATCTCCACTCCTCATTGCTGCGTGATCCTTTTCCAGTAGTTGATGATGTTCATGTAGAGGCGTAAGCAGTCAATATTCAGGGATATTGACTAAGATAGGGATGTTATGGTTAAACCTGACCGTATCCTCAATTGCACAATATTGGGGGGAGGCCGAAAGAAGAGAAACACTGGTTAGTGTTCAGGAATCGTAATCCTGATTCTGAGGATTCTTCCTAGGCTAGAGTCTAGTGATACAAAGGCCAATTCTAACATATCCAAGTGATTGCTACACAGGAATCAAATCATATGTGCAGTGTGAAGGAGACTGGGAAAATATATAGTTGAAGAAGGGCCTGGGAAGAAATACTTCCTCTGAAAAAGTATTCCTTTTCCAATGCTACTTTTATCACAATGGTAATTTTTGCATTTATTGCAGCACCTTTCTCATCAGGACGGCGTGAGTTACCAACTGATCCAGGCTAACATCTAGAATGTTTCCCTGTTTTTAAAATCCTTTTTGTGCACTCCTGTCATTTTTGAACCAGAATCTCCCCTGAGCTGCTTATATTTTCCAGCAGCTTGAATGATGCTACATGGCCAACCAGACATGCTAGCAGGAATAAAGCTCAATGGGGCCTGGCATAGGTCACCAGAGGCCTGCAGAGACACAAAACTAAGAAAAATACAGTGGAAAAATGAGGATATCCCTAAATTGGCACCTTTACTAAATGTAAGCAATCACTACTTAAGTGAGGGCTTGATAGCTGCTGTGTTCCTGACAGTGATGAAGCAGCTGGCATGCAGTGTGCTGTAGACACAGGTTTAGCTGTGCTGCTGTTACATACAGCGCAATGGTAACCAGGGTCATACTGACTGACTCAAAATAATCCAATCTTGGCCAAATGTGTAATTTCTGTTCTGTGACGGTTTTAAGATTGCGATAGAGACAGACAGTATATTAGGATTTATTCCCTCTGTATTCTTTTATCCTCATTCCTTGCTACACATACTTATCTCTTAATGCAGTTGTGTTTTTTTGGTGGCGGGGAGGGGCTTGTAACTAATACATTATTTTGATGATGGGAGTGGGAGGG